TGCTCCTGATCCAGGTCTTGAAAACCACAAACTGAGTCTGTGACAAGAACAAACCTGCTGGAGTCCAAGACCCACTAAGGACAGAGAGACCAGAGTCCCACAGGCCCCCCCACAAGATACCACACACAGACTCTCTCCAGGATCTGCACAACAGTGAACACCTGGTCCACTGATCCATGACCAGGACAGAATCCACATTGAGTCTGAGGTTCAACAATCAGAGTCTCCTTTCAGCAGCTGGTCCCCCTTTTAAATGTAAACCACCTCCTTGTTTTCTCCTGGTCTCAGGTGATGGGTCATGTGATGTGTCATGTGATGTGTCACATGATGTGTCATGTGATGTTGCTGCTGTTAGAAGAAGTCAAAGGGTCAAAATCAGGATGAGACACAGAGACAGATCAACAAAGAGACAAAGAGACAGAGAAACAGATTGACAAAGAGACAGATGCAAAGAGAGAAAGCGACAAAGAGATGAAAAGATAAAGAGACAGAATGACAAACAGACAAAGATACAAGTAGACAAAGAGACAGAGAGACGGACAGAAACATACAAACAATACAAAACATTAACAATAACGTCGTACCTTCCCCACGTACAGTGGCTCTTCTCCGGTGAACTCCTCCAGGACAAAGAATTGGTTCCAGACCCAGCTTCTCCTCCTCCTCTGGTTGGAGACAGCATCTCCTGCTGCTCCTAACACCTGAGGAAGGAGGACGGAGTTCAGGGACATCGCCTCGGAAACTGACTCCTCCCACAGCGACAGGACAAACATACAGAGCACACTCAGAATACAGAGACATTCCATCTCTGAGCAGATGACATCAAACTGTCCAACGATAAGTCGTCAAACTGTCCATTGATGACTCAAACTGTCCAACAGCGAGACATGAAATTGTCCAACGATGAGTCAAACTGTCCAGCGATGAGTCAAATTGTCCAATGATGACACTTCAAACTGTTTTTGACGGTTCTGACTCTCTTTACCTGTAAATAAATAAATATAAAGGAGTGACAGAGGGACACTGAGCAGTTCTGCTGATGGAGAACATCTGATCCACTTTTGTAAAAACATCATTATTTTTAACATTAAAAATATTTTACTAACCCACAGTGTAAAACTTATTTTCCATCTGTATTTTATTTACAGCATTTGCTGTGGGACAAACCTGTTAATCTGATTATCTACAGTTAATCTGTTTAATCTGCTTTAGTAAACTGATAAAACATGTTGATCACATCTGAACGAACACAGCAGCTCTGATTTGAATGAACATTCAGCTGTATATATAATAATATAACTGACTCCACATACAGTTTAAATCAATGTAAATATTATAACCAGCAGTCTTACCATCCAGCTGCTGATGGTCCTGCCCTCTGTCAGTTGATCTGCAGGTCATCAATAATCATCTCAGACTGATTATTGATAAAGGAAAATAAACAAAACAAACAGACTCTCTCTCTCAGTGTATCTTTCGGTCACTCATCCATCTGTTACAAAGACACCGTTCACTCTGACAGAGAGAGAGTGTGAGGAGGGGTGGGAGTTGTTCAGCTCCTCCCCTGTCAGTGGGGGGTGGGGGATGGGGGGCAGATGAAACATCAGTATTATTAATGCTGCTACAGTTTCTCCAGGTTTGTGTGTTTTCTACATCAGTGGTTCCTAAAGTTCCCCCCAGGAGCTGAAACAACAATCCGAGGTTGCCACAACATCTGCTTTCATGTAACCCCACACATTAAACACCCACCCACATTTACCCCCCCCCCCACCCACACACACACACACACACACACACACACACACACACACACACACACATTAAACACCTAAAACAAACCTTTACACACAGTGATCACCAATAATTATTTATTGATCCTCATTTATTGATTCCCCTACACAAAGATGAAACAAACAAGTACTGCTGGTCAGATATCTTAGATACAAATATAAAAATTCACAATAAGATAAAATACTCTCAGTATAATGTGAAGAAATACTATAGAAAAGAATAAATAGAAAAAATTAAATATATACGATACAAATATGTACACTGTACGAAATGACTGGGGCTGTGTGCAATAGTTCACGTGTGTGTGTGTGTGTGTGTGTGTGTGTGTGTGTGTGTGTGTGTGGGGGGGGGGGGGGGGGGGGGGGTCTTTAGCCTTGCTGATGGTCAGCTCCCACTTGAGGTCCTGTGTGACAGTGGTGCCCAGAAAGCACAAGGACTCCACAGTGTCCACGGGGGGGTCACACAGGGTGAGGGGGGTGAGTGGAAATGGGTTCTTTCTGATGTCCACTACCATCTTCACTGTCTTCAGAGCATTCAGCTCCATATTTTTCTGCCAGCACCAGGTCACGAGATGGTCAATCTCCTACCTGAGGTGGCCAGTTTTGGGGGCGCTGGGCCCCTGCTGAGATGGTGGAGGTGAAGCTGTTGGTCTGGAGGTGTTAACTGGACTCACGAGGGATAGTGTCAGGACTGACCCATTGTCTTTCAAAGCCACAGTAGAACTAATTCAGTTGATTGACCAGGTGCAAGTCATTAATGGAGGTTTGTAGTTGGTGATCTGTCTGAGCCCCTTGAAAACAGAAGCAGTGTAATTGGCTGAGAACTGGTGTTGAAGTTTCTCAGAGTAGTCATTTAGCTTCTGTCACTTTAGCTTGGTAAACCTGTACTTTGACTCTTTAAACCAGTCCCTGTCCCCACTCCTGAATGCTTCTTCCTTTTGCAACCATAGCTGACTAAGCTTAGCTGTGAACCAGAGTTTGTCATTTTTATAACTCACCCTGGTGCATGCTGGGATTCAGCAGTCCTCACAGAAGCTGATGTAGGATGTCACAGCCTCTGTGAACTCAGCCAGACTGTTGGTGGCGGTCCTGAACACATCCCAGTCAGTACAGTCCAAACAGACCTGAAGATCCTCAATGGATTCACTGTTCCCCTGCTTTGATGTCTTCACAACAGGTTTACAGAGTTTTAGTTTCTGCCTGGATGTAGGAATCAGGTGGACCATGACATGGTCAGACCGGCCCAGTGCAGCCAGAGGGATGGCATGATAAGCACTGTTGATTGTGGCGTAACAGTTATCCAAAATATTCCCCTCCATGGTCAGGCATTTAATAAACTGACTGTATTTAGGAAGTTCATGCCTGAGGTTTCCTTTGCTAAAGTCACAGAGGACAATCACTAGGGAATCCAAGTTAGTTCTCTATCGACCACACACTGCTGTTAAGAATACTGTGTGTGTGTACATGTCTCTATGTATGTATGTGTGTGTGTGTGTGTGTGTGTGTGTGTGTGTGCACGTGTGTGTGTTTCAACATGAAGTTTCCTCATATGAAGTGAAAGCTACAGAGGCTAAGATCCAATCAGAAGCTTCGTCTGAAGGTCGTCCTCACACTAAAGGTCAAAGCTGAGGAGGAAGTCATCTCCTGCAGGTGTGTGTGTGTGTGTGTGTGTTACTGATTTGATCATTGAAAAATGTAAAGTTTTGTTCTTCCACATGTGAAAGTCATGTTGTTAAACAGCAGAAAAACCAACACACACTGACTGTGTCCATTAGTGTGAACCTGGACAGTGTCCACGTCATCAGGTACACCTACACAGACTGAAGGAGACTGGACTCAGCAGGACTCAGTGTCAGGTGAGATCCTCGACCTTTACATCAGACAGCAGGATGGACGTACAAATACCAGAGAAGCTGGAGGAGGTTCAGACACACAAGAGGACATTGTCTTTGTGTGTGGAGTCACACTACCTGATACACAAAAACATAACATTACCTGATGAAGACAAAGCAATGTTAACTAATACACAAAGACACAACGTTACCTGATAAGGAAAAAACAGTGTTACTTGACAGTCCTTGTCCTGTCTCATGTCCAGTGAAGTGTTGTCTCACCTCCAGCAGATGCCCGTTGACCATATGGACGTTTGCACACGGCACAAACTGCAGCGTCTCATCAACATTTATCAGCACATGAGAAAATTGATGTCCTTGGACTCCTTTGTCCTCCTTCCGTCTGTCTCCCTGATGTCTCAGAAACATCTCTGTCTCTCTTTCTGTTTCAACTCTGTTCCACCAAAATTAGCTCAGGAACTTGAACCGGTTCTGTGCAGGATTGTTGGAACCTTGGTACTATCCAGCGAGTAGAATGACAATGTTTTCACTGAAATCTCTGACTGGTTTTAAATAACCTGAGTTGAGGGAGTTTGCAAGTAGCATTTTCTGACTTGACACTGCTTGTTTTTAATGGATTTTAGGTTTATAAATCTGTCCACATACCTGGTTGTTATAAAGGAGTCTTTAAGGTCTCTGTACTGGTTACTGTACTGGTTACTGGAGGAATCTCTCATTGGTGGATCCAGAATGGACATTCAGGACAGTGGACCACCAGGCCTCCATCACACTCTCTGCCTTCTGGAGCTACAGCTGTCTAGTGGATAGTGGATTCATGAACACTGAGTCTAGCTGAGTGTAGCGGGGAGGTTAAGAAGCTGTGGACGAAGAGGGCCTTTTTCCAGAAAGGATCCACAGATGTTGTGTTATGGTTGTAAATAAGAATAAATTGAATGTTAAAACAGAAACCCAGCGTCAGTGACACTGTAAAGTCAGTTTGGACCTTTGAATAACAGTGGAGCTGCTGCAGTGATTTAATCACAATGCTTCTCATGACTGTCCTCTTCATCCTGGATGAACACGTCTCTGCATGTTTGTAATGGAGGTGATGGAGACAAAGTCCACAGTGAAATATATTCAAATCTTTATCTGTCAACCCGTCTTCTTATTTCGAAAGTGCAATAGAGTGAGAGACTTCTGTTAAAATGTTGATGATTCTGTCTTGTGTCTATGTCGCGTCTATTGAGATGTTTGATGAGTTTTACTTTTTCTGTTTCATCTCTTTGTTTGTTCCTTAAATCTTAAATCGATCTTTTCCAGTTTTGATCATCGAGCTGCTAAAAGGGAGGAAACTTTCTCTGCCTCAGGTGGATCATTCACACTTTTAATGCTTTGTCATTAAGAAGAGAGTGAAATCACTTAGATAGGAGGTTTACAGACTGATGATGACTGAGGCTGAGTCAGCTGATCGATTATTGGAAACAAATTCTTTTTATCTCTGAATCAGATGCAAAACTTTTAGCAGGGGACATCAGCAAGAGGTTTGTGTTTGCTGACGTCAGACAGGTGCAGGCGAGTCTCACCTGATCACCTGCTGCTGTTCTCTCCTCTCGCTAAGAGTCCACCAGAGACCAAGAGTCCACCAGAGAAAGAGTCCACCAGAGAAAGAGTCCACCAGAGACAGAGTCCACCAGAGACTAAGAGTCCACCAGAGACCAAGAGTCCACCAGAGACAGAGTCCACCAGAGACAGAGTCCACCAGAGACAGAGTCCACGTGAGACAGAGGAGGACAGTGTCATGGCAGCAACTGATCACACATACTGATCTTGAAACTGATCACAGGGTTGGGGTTGGGGTTAGGTTGGGGTTAAAACACAACACTCTGAAGAGTGTTATGAGGAGCTCTGGCACAAGTTTATCATGGATGTTAAAAAACACTTTGGGATTTTCTTTTATTAAAACCATTTATACATGGTTAAAATATCCCTAAATAAGTAAAAACAAAAATATATAATAAAATAAAAAATTGATAAAAGAATAAAAAAAATGAAGGGTTAGGGTTAGTCTCAGGTTTCTGGGATCAGATCTGGGACCTGGATGCTGTGGAT